TCCTAGTACACATCTATCTGTTTCTATTATTTTATATTCATTGTCTAAAGGTAATTCTAATGGTGGTAAATTTCTAACCTCTTTTATCATTTTTTACTAGTTCTTTGTCTGATTGATTAAAGTATTTTTGTCATTTGCTAAACAATTTACAATACAATAGTCCTACTTTCTTTCTTAAATCTTTAATAAAATATCTAGCATAATTCAAAATTCATAAAAAGGCTTGTAATTTTTTAGTTTCTTATATCTTATCTGATTACAATTGTATGTACTATATGTGGTTGAAGCTTGATTTTTCCTTCTCCTAAAAATATTCTTAAAAATTCAATTTTTTTATTTATTTTCATTATTTTACTTAAACCATTTTCTATGAATTTATTTAAAACTATTTCTAAATGCTTCATATATTCCTTATGATTTTTACTATGTACCAAAATATCGTCTATATATACACAAATAAATGGAAAAAAAATTAAAAATGCTATCCATTTTCTTTGAAAAGTAGAGGATGCATTTTTTAATCTAAAAGGCATGACTAGTCATTCAAAATGTCCTAGTGGTATAGTAAAAGCTTTCCAAATAATAGAATTTTTCGCCATTTTTATTTGTCAAAATCCATATTTACAGTCAAATTTTGAAAATATTTTAACTATTTTGTATTTTATTTATTAATATGTTCTTATCTGGTAACTTATATCCATCTTCTATAGTAATATCATTTAATCTTTTATAATTTATAATTATTCTTTTTTTCCTTTTTTAATTTCATTATGATTTGTAATAATGAAAGTTTCCGATCTGTGTTGGCTATTGGATGCTCCTATCACTTTTAAATCTAACAATTTTTTAATCTGTGTGTTAAAGTCTTCTATGTCTTGAATTTATATTTAATTTCTGTTGTTCTAGTTTTATATTTTCGTTTATGGCGTCTGATTTAGCTTCTATTTTATTTTTATCCCAATGTTTTATAGGGTGTTCTTCGATTATCTATAATTCTAAAATTTTATCTATACTATCTACCTTAGATGATATTTTATTAAATATTATCAATTCTTTAGTTCTTGGCATGATATCAGTCTTTAAGGTTTCTAGAGAAAAATGATTTAAATGTTCAAAGCTTTCTAAATTATCTAGATAGCTAAAAAGTTTTCATCACGTTATTTTAGTTTTACTAGCAGTAAGCACGTGCATTACACATCTTATGTATGGAAGATTTTCAAAATAAAAAATTACTCATTTTGTTTGTAACATAAACTTTTTTACCTTAAAAGGTAAAAATAAAAAAGTATCATATTTAAACACTTTTAGAAACAAAAAAAATTACGTATTAATCGTGCTCGTCATATTAATCCATATATAAATATGGAAGGGGTAAGTAACTCCTGATTATTATGAGTAATTAGTAAAGTTTTTAGGATTAATGGATAATTCTTTCCATCTTTGATTCTTTTCCTTCTAACTGTTGATCACATTTAAGCAAAAAAAAAAAAATCAGTATATGTATTATAATTATAACATAATTAAATAAGTTGATTTTAAGTGAAGCTCACTTATATAAATAATATATAATATAATATAATATACATAAATGTACATATGAAATAATGTTATCCTACATATATAAAAGAGCGAAACTTTGCTGAACACGTGTCGCAATTTCATATCGTCTTCCCTTTTCGTTTCTTTTTTCTTTTTCTTTTTTTTTTATTTCATCCCACGCTATCGGCCATACCTCTTTCCTTCTCCATTTCTTTCTCCATTTTCCCACGTTATCATCATACATCTTTACTTCTCCTCCATTTCTCCAACACAATCATCCATTTCACACAAGAATACATGATTTCTGCATGGATCTACCTGATTCATCCCTCTCATTCTCTACCCTAATTGTAAACTTTCTCTGACATTCATCAAAATTTTAGCCGTCTCATTTACCTACTTCAAGGTAATGATTTTACGAAATGGGTGTAATCTTGAACTCATACGACCCATTCCTTTCTTTAATTCTTAAGTCTGATCATTTCTATTTTCTAAGTCCATCCATATCATTTAGTTGCTCATTTGTCTTTAATGGTGATTTTTCTTAAGTTTTCATTTGTTGCAACACGTGAACAAACTCCTTCACAGTTATACAACTCAAGACGAGCAATTGAATCTCTCTAATTTGTATGTAAGTATGTTTATTTGATTTTTTTCTTTTGAATTAATCTTCATTTTTGTTAAGTTTTCATTTGATTACTGTTTATACGAGCGTGTCATTAATTTTGTTTCAACATAACTTCCAGATGATGGTGAATCAACTGATGGGAATAGTGATGAAGTAATTAGTAGGATACCAGGTCTGTGCTCTTTTCCCACTTCATTTTAAATTTTCTTTTTCTGTATATTTCATTTTTCATTTGTGATAAAAAGAAAAAAAGAAAAAGAAAGGGAGACCAAAGCTCTGTGCGTATAGCTCCGTGCAGTGCAGGGAGCAAAAAAGCTTTGTGCAAACCTGTTGCATGGCGGAGAATAAAAACATTTTTTAACAAAAAGAAAAAAATAATAATGATAATAATAATAAAAACATCTTTTTAGGCAAAAAAAAAAAAA